GTACAGCAAAACCTGACAAGAATGCTCCTCGCAGTATTATTTTTTAATAATACAGCAAAATAGGAAACAACTGAGATATCCGTCAATGGTTAAACGATAGTGTGCTCATACAATAGACTGCAGCAGTGAAGATGACAAACCGTACCTATGTACAACATGGGTCTGAAGAACACAGGCTGGGTTTGTCTTCTATAATCCAAGCATTAGGATGTAGAAGTAGAAGAAAGATGAGTTGCAGTCAGCCTGGACAACACAGAATTTGTTTCAAAATAAATACATAAACATTCACTTTACATAAAGCTCAACATGCAATGTTGACCAATGCTATTTGAAGTCAGAATGGTGGATACCTTTTTAAAATTTTAGTCATTTAAAAATATGGCAGGGCTGGGAAGGTGGCTCAGTGGTAGAGCACTTGCCTTGCATGCTTAAGGCCCTGGGTTCGATTCCTCAGCACCACATAAGCAAAAAGAAAAAAGCCGGAAGTGGCGCTGTGGCTCAAGTGGTAGAGTGCTAGCCTTGAGCTGAAGAGCTGAGGGACAGCGCCCAGGCCTAGAGTTCAGGCCCCACGACTGGCAAAAAAAAAAAAAAAATATGGCAAATTTAAAATACATATGTAAACTTTACCTTTTGAAATGCATTCATAATAGTGTATAAGTAAAGCATTACCACTATCTAGTTCCAAAATGTTAAGTAGTCATTTGGCATGCTTCTCTCTCCATAGGGTGTTTGTTTTGGACAGGAGGTGATAAATGACTGGGAAGTATTTGCGGGGGAGGGTTGTCTGGATATTGGTAATGATGGATTAGAAAAACCCTGGAAGGCATTATATACATTTGTATTGTGAAAATTTATCTAGAGGGATCCTTCTTTGTATGTACTTTTCTGTCTAAATGTAGACATAGATAAGTAAATTTGTTAACTGAATTTCCCCCTAGGACGTAGGATTATGAATCCATTTTTTTTTTTTTTTGGGTCCAGTTGTGGGCCTGAACTCTGGGCCTGGGCACTGTCCCTCAGCTCTTCACCTTAAGGCAAGTGCTCTACCACTTGAGCCACAGCGCCACTTCTGGCTTTTTTTTCTGCTTATGTGTTGCTGAGGACTCGAACCCAGGGCCCCATGCATGCAAGGCAAGCGCAGTACCACTGAGCCACTTTCCCAGCCCTCCATTTTTATATTTACTTTAGTTTTGTTAACTGGTGTTTTCCTGTTGGCCTCCATGAACACAAATATTAATTTGGTAACAAAATTTTGACACTTAAAACATCATAAAGGAGAATGAATTTTAATGTCTGCTAAGAGACATTACCATAACAGGTAATGGAAATGTGCCATCAAAACTTTGTTGAGGCATGGCTCAATTGGTAGAGTGCCAGCCAGTGAGTGAAAGTGTCAGGTACTGAGTTTGAGTCCTGACCCCACGATTTTGTCTAATCATTATTTTCCTTCAGAATTGATATTTCTGTATCTGTCTACCACCTGATGTGGTTTTGTACCTGTTCTCACTCCCTTGTGGCTTTTCTTCCTTGTGGATATAGAGGGAATGTGGTTTGGGAGAGATAAGGAGAGAGTCCCAGCTCTCCCTAGCTACTGGGTCATTGTATTTAGAGGATTCACTTCTTGGCAGACTGAAAGTTAAGTTGAAGTAAAAGCTGGAGAATCTGAGAAGAAAGGGTAGTGATTAGGGTGAGCAGTCTGCCTGCAGTGGCCTGAAAGGAGCATCAGGAGGTAGATAAAGGTTATAAGCAAGTGAATCACTGCCTCCATATCAACCTGCCATGCTACAAAGAATTAACCACTGCAGAAAAAAGTTTTTGATTAACAGGAAATGTTTATAGCCTTCTTCAATCACCCCTCATCCACCAAAGCTCCTGTCCCTCCTTGGGATTTGAAATAGCTTTAAACTACCCTCGCTTTATTGAGTTTTTCATCATTCAAATCTCAACTTTCATCTTTGTCCTCTCCAGATCTCTCAAGCATCATTAACCTCTTGTTTCCCCATGCTTCCGAAGTACCTCATTCATATCTCCTACAGCAGCCACCACATTGTATAATAATTTCCTGGCAATCTGTGATCTCTTTAATCACTGAGATGAAATCTTTTTGTTCAGTGCTTCCTAACACTCATACAATTCCTGACACATAAGAGATAACAAATGTTAATCTAAATTGTTGAAGGTGGATCTTCTTGACCTTTACCCCACGTAGAATGATTGCACATAGTCCTTATTCCTTTCCATAGATTTTTATGATACAGTTTTGTTATTACGGTGTTATACGGAGCAGTTAGCATTTCATAATTCAGGTAATGTATACATTTCTCTTTCGGACAATGCCACCCCCTTTCTATAGATTTTTATGCTTCATCCTTTCCTTCATCCAAGATTTATTTCTTAAGAGATTATTATGCATACATGTACCCTGGAGCTTAGAGGTACAAACTTATGCCAAGTTCTGTGAGCTTTATGGGGTCTGTAGTCACGTTACTCCTTCTCCAGTCCTTTTCAGCAGTTACCCTGCTGTTTCTCCTGAATTCCAGGCCATATGTTTAGTATGTTGCTTTTAGATGAAGTGTTTTTTTTTTAATATTTTATTTGTGAACATACTGTACAGAGGGGTTACAATTACATGGGCAGGATAATGCATACATTTTTTACCAAGTATTGCAGCCTCCTCCTTTGTGAAGTGTTTTTTTTTTTTTTTTTTTTTTTTTTGGGACAGTCGTGGGACCTGAACTCTGGGCCTGGGCGCTGTCACTCAGCTCTTCAGCTCAAGGCTAGCGCTCTACCACTTGAGCCACAGCGCCACTTCCAGATTTTTTCTTTTTGCTTATGTGGTGCTGAGGAATCAAACCCAGGGCCTCAGGCATGCAAGGCAAGCGCTCTACCACTGAGCCACCTTCCCAGCCCCTGTTTTGTTTTTTGTTTTTGTTTTTTGTCAGTTGTGGAACATGAACTCTGGGCCTGGGCACTGTCCTTGCACTCTTCAGCTCAAAGCTAGCACTCTACCACTTGAGTCACAGTACCACTTCTGGTTTTCTGGTGGTTAATTGGAGGTACAAGTCTCATGGATTTTCCTGCCAGAGCTAGCTTTGGACTGTGCTCTTCAGATCTCAGTCTCCTGAGTAGCTAGGTTTATAGCATGAGCCACCAGCGCCTGGCCTTAGCTGAAGTTTTTGGCGTGAGTTTCTCTCTACACACTAAAAGAAGTCAATTTTGTTGCACTTTTTCCTTACCTGATAAGCCCATGGGATATGTCAGCCATAGTGCTGGCTCCTAATCTAATGGGAGAGGCTGCCATTGCTTTAGAAGGATTCATTGGGCATGCTCTGGAAACATAATAGGCCTGGCTTCCTTGAGGAGGCTTAAAAAAAAGCCAAATATGCAAATTTAAGTAGAAGGTAAAGAAAACAGGCAACAAAAAAGCCAAAAAGAACTTTATGTTTAAAAGTCTTGGAAGTCTAGGGGTTAGTAGAGATTAAATATTTATTATTTTTTTCCAGTCCTGGGGCTTGAACTTGGCCTGGGCACTGTTCCTGAGCTTCTTTTGCTCAAGGCTAGCCCTCTCTCACTTGAGCCACAGCGCCATTTCCTGCCTTTTCTGTTATGTGGTACTGAGGAATCGAACCTAGGGCTTCACGCATGCTAAGCGTTTACTCTTCCACTAAGCCACACTCCGAGCTGAGATTAAATATTTAAAGATCTTAAAGGAATTGCCAGTAGTTGGAATGGGGAGCTAAGGATAGAGCATCCCAGATGAGATTGGAGAAGAAGGGATTGATGAATCAAGACGGAGCTTTGCTGCATGATAAATCTGCTTTAGTCAGGAATCGTTTGATTGAAAGTGACAACAGATCCACTTAAGAAAAAAAAGGGGGGGTCTTTTGTGGCTCAGCAGCTAAAAGTTCAGGGCTTTCAAGATCAAAGATGTCATTGAGTTTTGACACCTCTCTCATCTTTGCTCTCCTTTGTGTTAGCTTCGTTCTTTCTCAGTGAAATAGTCCCCTGATCTCCCCTAGACACACAGGATGACTGGAGTGGAAAGGAATGGAGATGAGAAAAGATCATTGATATGGGCTGCTAATCTTTCTACTCTTCAAAACCTTCAAGGTTACCTTTTTGTCAAAGGAAGTCTAGACCTCTACAGCGCAGCTTCTGTGGGAGGGCAGGATTCTGGCCTTGGGACAGCTTTCATGAAGGTAGAGAATGGGACAGGTGAGGGAGTTATTCCTGGACTCCTGTTTACTTTCCCAAAATATCGAACTCATTATCCCATTTCTTTCCGGAGGGGCCTAAAATACATTTTCTCAGCTGTGTCTTCAACCTTCCTAGAGAGCAAAATCATTGGTTTAGGTAGGAGAAGAAGAAGAAAAAAGGTTAGGAATCCTAGAAACCCCACCCACCCCCTTACTTTAGGTCTCCACAACCCAGCACCCCCCCCCCCCCATACACACCCACATACTAAGAGGGCTCTGACCTACTTGTCTTGCTTCTGCTGCTGCTTCCTGCAGGCCTTTGTCAAACCTTTCCAGATCCTTCCAACTTCGGGGCTTCAGAACTCCTCCATCGTCCGGTGGAGAGCCCTTCTTCACCCTCGCGCTCACACCACCTAGGTAGGCACTAGGACCAGGCACAGAACATCACATCTAGGGACCCCTTCCTCCCCCCACATCCCCCCCAACCCAGCGCTTCCGCCTCCGGAGCAGACTCCTCCCCCTCACCGTCCCAATTGTATTCCTGGAAGAGCCGCCGGAAAAGCCTCCGCCTGCTCCGACCTGGATAGGCGAGAAGCTTGTTCCTCCCTGCAGCGGGCTCCCCTCCACCCCCGGACCGCCGTCCTCCCGGCGGGCACCGCAGACCCGTGGCCGCGCGCCCCGCCTGGGCCCAGCGGCGGGCGGCGCGGGTGCGGCTTCAGCACCACGGACAGCGCTCCGCTCGCGGCCCGGCCGCGGGCTGTGCGCCTCAGCTGGTGCAGAGCAGGCGGCAGGCAGCAAGCTATGCCCACGGCATGGCCCGGCGCTCCAGCCCCATGGCGCTGCTCCTCAGCGTTGGCCTCCTCTGTCTCTGTTCAGGTAAGAACAGACCGGCCGGCTTCTACCCCAATCCATGGCCCAAGACGCCGAGCTTTGTCTCGCCCTCACCCTCGCGCGGATGGAAGGGATTCCCTAGAGTTTCCAGAGCCTGCCTAGAGGGGCCAGGGGGCTAGGGGGTACTAGGGGAGAGACCTCGGGGACTGCAAGGAGTATTTGGGAGACTTATCAGCCAGGTGCACCTACCAGAAAGAGTAAATGATATGAGGAACAGATGGAAACCTGGAGCAGTGGCCACGGGGAGGGTGTGGGTGCCGAGGGGACGGAGCCGGTGGCGGGTCTCTCAGGTTTCTGGGATGGCAGGGGCTACGGAGGCTGAGATGTCATTTGACTTTTTATAAAACTATCTCGAGTTCTCTTTGCTTCAACAGCTCTCCCGTAACTCTACCTCATTTCCCACTCCCCGCATTGGCTCCTCATGTGGGTCACCCCACAGGGGCTGGCAGGAAGGAGAGACAGAGCTGACTTGTAGGATGGGACAGGAAATTTGGAAGCAACAAAACCGCCAGGCTGAGGATTAGAAAGGCTCTCTCTGAGGGCTGGGGGTCGGTGTTTGAGCAGAGTTACAGCAGGGGATAAAGGGAGTGAGCTTTCCACACCCACATGCCACTTCATGGAGGGTAGGCTCCAGCATCTATGGAGTTCAGGGACCCACAGGCAGCCCTCTTACCCAACTCAGTGTCTGTGAAAGAAAGGGGGTGGTCACATCTAGTCATCAGTGGAGATACATAGTGTTATTTTGCACACCTAAACCAACACAGATTAGGAGAAAGGGTATGTGACAGGGCACATACTTGTTCCCCTTTTTATTACCCTCTGAACCTCCTGTGAGTTGTATTTGCTGGGGAAGCCACAGAGACAAAAACCTCAAGCCTCTTGAAATCATCTTCAGAGGACCTGTGGGGAAGCGGGTCTGCATTAATCCTTGAAAAGTGGCTTCTAAATCTGGGGCATCTCTAAGGGGCTGTCTGGACTCCTTGGTCAGTGGTCTCAGAGAGGGACTTCTCTATGAGGGGCTTAATCTTGGGCCTCCATGGGATAACCCAAGCATTTTGAAGTATCCTTAGGAAGGGGACAGTAGGAAGCTACAGTAGGAAGCTATTGTCACCCTCCCCCATTAGGCCTAATTGTCCCACTTGCCTAGGGATAGGCAGGATCTTTTTTTTTTTTTTTGGTCAGCTGTAGGACTTTAACTCAGGTCTTGGGTGCTGTGCCTGAGCTCTTTTACTCAAGGCTAATGTTCTACCACTTTGAACCACAGTGCTACTTCTGGTTTTCTGGTGGCTCATTGGAGAAAAGAGTCTCAGAAGGACTTTCTTTCCAGGGGTCTGGTTTGAACTGTGATTCTCAGATCTCAGACTCCTGAGTAGCTAGGATTATAGGCATGAGCCACCAGTGCCTGACTAGTGAACCCTCTTGTGTATTCACTTCTTTCCCCTGCTTTGTTCAGGGGTGTGGAGTACTGACACAGAGGAGCGGCTGGTGGAACACCTCCTGGATCCCTCTCGCTACAACAAACTTATTCGTCCAGCTACCAATGGCTCTGAGCTGGTGACAGTGCAGCTCATGGTATCCCTGGCCCAGCTCATCAGTGTGGTAAGTTGCACACTCCACCCAACTACTGAAACCAGTCCAGCCAGAATGGTTTGTCTTTACTCTTCAGTGTTCTTGGAGTAGGAGGGGCCCTGAGGGGTGGCAGCACATTTGCAGGCTGCTGTGGGCAGGACTTTTCAGCAGCTTCTTTATTTCCTCACAGCATGAGCGGGAGCAGATCATGACTACCAATGTCTGGCTGACCCAGGTTAGTTCTCTTCTCATCCCACCTCTTCTTTTCTCTTTTTTTGTCCCATCTTCTTCCTTTCTTCTCTTCCCTCTCTTCCTTCTCCTCTTCCTTGTGGGTATGTCCTTCTCTCTGTTTCATTTTCCCCAAAAGGAGCAGAAACATTTAGACTTTGGAGTCCTAAATAATTGGATTTGAATCTTGGTTGGTTCTAAGGGTCAAACAAGTCACACTTGTCGGGCAGAGGAAAAGAGACTGGTTTTTAGAAGCTTCCTCAAGCCAGTCTATAATCTTTTTGTGCCTTTTCTTGACCTTGGGCCCCTCCTGGGGACAGAGGTTGGTGCTGCCTCCCTCTTTCCCCTTCCCAGGAATGGGAGGATTATCGCCTCACCTGGAAGCCCGAGGAGTTTGACAATATGAAGAAAGTTCGGCTTCCTTCCAAACACATCTGGCTCCCAGACGTGGTCCTGTACAACAAGTAGGTGACTCTTGGGAAGGTTGGGGGAGACGATGGGAAGACTCAGGAGAGGAAGTCATGGGGGAGAGTAAGAGAAATTCATTTGTGCTGTGAGATGGAAGGGACTTCTTATGGGAAGGTTTGCAGATAGGCACTGTCCAGATTAAGGGTGGGGATTATCTGTGGAAATCATTTGGTATATAACAGGATAGACACGTATGCTTTTGGTGAGCTGCCCCAAGAATGTTATAAATATCCAAAGGACCCTTTGCAGAAAAAAGGGTCCCTGTCTCTGATCTAGACACCCAAACCCAGACCAGTGAGATATAATATATATATATATATACATATATATATTATATGCTCATAAATATGTGCATAGTCAATGGACTAGGACCTTGACCAGCTCACTTAGGATTTTCCACTATTAGCAGTTGAAGTGGGGATGTTAAAGATTGACAGCCCCTAGTGTTCAAATGGATTCAAGGCTGGGGATTTCTGGAAGCTTGGGAAGATCGTGGAAACATAAGTCTTAGTTTCTCCTCTAGATTCAAATCTTTTCTCCTGAAACAGTCCCTTCCACCTCTAAAGTACCTTCCTCAACTGATAGGACCATACCCTTTATACCACCTGCCTTTTCCCCTCTCCATGACTTTCGGGCTTATCACTCTGGCTTCTGCAACTTCTCCACTGTCATGAGGATCAGTCAGCCTACATAACGTGGGACAAGCAGCAGATGGAACCCCTTCTCCATCTACCTTTTCTTTTTTTGGGGTCCGGTTGTGGGGCCTGAACTCTGGGCCTGGGCACTGTCCCTCAGCTCTTCAGCTCAAGGCTATTGCGCTACCACTTGAGCCATAGTACCACTTCCGGCTTTTTTTCCCCTGCTTATGTGGTGCTGAGGAATCGAACTCAGGGTCTCATGCATGCAAGGCAAGCGCTCTACCACTGAGCCACCTTCCCAGCCCCCTGTCTACCTTTTCCTATCTCTGAAGGGGGGCATCACAGGTCTCCCATCCAGGACACCAGTTCTTACTACCAGCCCACCCATATCCTCTTCCTGCTCTACTTCTTGGTACTTCAGGATGGTATGTTTCAGATCTGTGTTCTCCTCCTCGTATCTGCCTCTGGCTTTCCTCTCCCATGCAGGCCTAGGCTGATAGGTAGGGCTAGAGGAATGCTCAGATGAGGAATGCTGACTGTATCCATTTCTTGGCAGTGCTGATGGCATGTACGAGGTGTCCTTCTATTCCAACGCTGTGGTCTCTTATGATGGCAGCATCTTCTGGCTGCCACCAGCCATCTACAAGAGTGCATGCAAGATTGAAGTCAAGCACTTCCCCTTTGACCAGCAGAACTGCACCATGAAGTTCCGCTCGTGGACCTATGACCGCACTGAGATCGACCTGGTGCTCAAGAGTGATGTGGCCAGCCTGGATGACTTCACACCCAGTGGGGAATGGGACATCGTGGCGCTGCCGGGCCGGCGCAACGAGAACCCCGATGACTCCACTTATGTGGACATCACATATGACTTCATCATTCGCCGCAAGCCACTCTTCTACACCATCAACCTCATCATCCCCTGCGTGCTCATCACTTCCCTGGCCATCCTTGTCTTCTATCTGCCGTCAGACTGTGGCGAGAAGATGACCCTGTGCATCTCCGTGCTGCTGGCACTCACCGTCTTCCTCCTGCTCATTTCCAAGATTGTGCCTCCCACTTCCCTGGATGTGCCGCTGGTGGGCAAGTACCTCATGTTCACCATGGTGCTTGTCACCTTCTCCATTGTCACCAGCGTGTGCGTGCTCAATGTGCACCATCGCTCACCCACCACACACACCATGGCACCCTGGGTCAAGGTGGTCTTCTTGGAGAAGCTGCCCACACTGCTCTTCATGCAGCAGCCGCGCCATCACTGTGCCCGCCAGCGCCTGCGCCTGCGGCGACGCCAGCGCGAGCGCGAGGGGGCCGGTGCTCTCTTTTTCCGTGATGCCCCGGGCGCAGACTCCTGCACCTGCTTTGTCAATCGTGCATCTGTCCAAGGTTTGGCTGGGGCCTTTGGAGCCAAGCCGGAGCCGGAACCTGGGGCTGGTCCTGGGCACTCTGCTGGGCCATGTGGCTGCGGCCTCCGGGAGGCAGTGGATGGAGTGCGCTTCATCGCAGATCACATGCGGAGTGAGGATGACGACCAGAGTGTGAGTACAGCCCAGCTACACCAGGCATGAGATATTTATGAGGGTTCAGAGAGCAGGGACTTTTTATCTGAAAAGCAAGGCATTGCTTCCATGTGTGAAGTTAAGAGCACAGGATGGAGGAAATGTGTGGCTCTGGTGCACACGTGCACACTTGCACGTGTGTGTGTGTGTGTGTGTAAGAGGGAGTTTGGTTTTTGAGGTGTGTGTGTGTGTGTGTGTCTACTTAGGCTTGAATCTAGGGCCTCATACTCTTGCCTAGCTTTCTCACCCAAGGCTGGGTGAGCCACGGCCCTACTTCCTACTTTTTCGGCTCTACTTCCTTCTTTTTCTGATTTACTGCAGATAAAAGTCTTATAGACTCTTCTGCCCAGGCTGGCTTCAACTGTGATCCTCAGATCTCAGCCTCCTGTGTAGCTAGGACACAGGCACGAGCCACTAGTGCTCAGCTTGGCCTGCGTTCTTGATTGGTGTATTAGAGAAGAGTCAGTACAAGATGACCTTGCAGCTTCCTGAGGACCAGTGCCCAAGACTAAATGACTCTCAGCTGAGGCATCATTAGTGTCCTGAGGATGTCCTGGAAAGGGAAGAGGCCCTTCTGGGTTTGCAGCTGGCCTGTGGCTGTCACCCAGAGTCCCTCCCCACAGCTTGCATTACCACATTCAAGTTGTTAATCTGCAGCTCTTAGCACAAACTGAAAGTCCTTTGTGGGGCACACAGGGGACAAAATTGAGGACAGTTGGGATGAGGAGGAGGGGAGGGTTAAAAGGTTCCATGAATCTCCCAGCAGAGTCTCAAATCAATATCCCTTTTCTCTCTTCTGGGTCCTGGGGAACCATCTGGTAAAATATTTATGGAGATGAGGCCAGTGGAAGGGAGGGTTCACCCCACCCTCTTTCAGCACGCACAGCTTTGGCTTTTTTTTCCTGCAGTGTTCCCAGAGGAGATTCCTAGGGACTGAGTCAGGAGTTAGGGGGAGGTATGAGGGGTTAGCATCCCTCCACTTTGGTTAGCATCTGGCTAGCTCTGAGGTAAGTCTGGGGTACCTGTCTGGTTCTAGGCCAAGGCTCAGCTGTTGCCATGGTGACTGGCTAGGTTTCCTCAGGGACTCTGCCATTCCTGTTAGGGGATGAGGTGGGGCAGGCACTCAGGTTTGTGTTGGGGGAGGGTGGTTTCAGAGGTTTGTTAGCCTGAATGGCAGGAAATTAGGTTGGAGAAAAAGCTTGGGCCAGAGAGCATCTTACAGTTTGAATGTCAAAATAGTGGGGAGGCTGAGACTGGTGGAGATGGGGTGGGAGCCCCAGAGCCAGCTAAGGCCACAGGGGAGATGCTGAAGTACAGGGCTCAGCTGCTGCAGCTGCAGTCTGGGCCTCTGTCCCTCCCACTGAAGTCCACTTATGTCTTGTGTATTTGCCAATCCAGGTGCTGAGGACACACTGACCTATTTGGATGCCTCATAGGCACGTAGATCTCAACCTGTCCCAAACTACTGCTTGATCTACATTCTCACCAACTCTCTCCCAGCTTTCCCCATTCTTTGTTAAATGGCATCACCATCCACCCAGTGTTTCAGACCAAAAACCTAGAATAATCCTTGACCTCTCTCTTTCTCTGTTCCCCATCTGTCAAGTCATCAGAAGTCCTGTCCTGTTGAGCACCTCCTCCAAAATAATTTTCAGCTTTCCTCACCACCTCCATACTAATACCCAGGCTGTAAGCTGCCAGTAGTTCTTGCCTGGACCCAGAAAGAATTTCCTAATAGCCTGGCTGATGTAGCTCCTGGGTTCTTGCATACAAATCAGGTGTGTTTCCCTTAACTTGTGCCATTTCTCCCTTGCTCAGGACATTGGCTAATTTCCTTAACCATCTTTAAGCAAGGCAAGGCTTTTCACATCCCAGAACCTTTACACATAGAGATCTTTCTGCCTAAAATTCCAGTCTCTATTTTTTTTTGGTCGGTCATGGGGCCTGAACTCTGGGCCTGGGTGCTGTCCTTGAGCTTTTCAGCTCAGGGCTAGTGCTCTACCACTTGAGCCACAGCACCACTTCCAGCTTTTTCTGCTTATGTCGTGATGAGGAATTGAACCCAGGGCCTCATGTATGCAAAACTAACACTCTACCAGTGAGCCACCTTCCCAGCCCACCTGTCTCTATTTTCACTTAAAAATATTACCACTATTACAATATTTTTTTTTGCTCTGTGACTTTAGAGTAAGCTGCAGGCACTGTAATTCTTTACCACCAAATATTTGTGTTTCTCCTAAGAACAGGGCTTATTTCTTGTATAATAGAGGCTAGGGATGTAGCAGAGTGGTCAAGCCAGGTGTTCAGCATATAGAAGGTCCTGCGTTTGATTCCCTGCACCAAAAACAACCAAACAAAACAACAACAAAAATCCCAAGTTAATGATCAAAGTCAGAAATTAATTACTTTTATAAAATCCATGTTCCAAATTTCCTGATTGTTTTAGTAATATCTTCAGTAGGATCACCACCTCCTACAAGACCTCAAATTGCATTTAGTTGTCATATTTCTTTAGTTTCCTTCAACCTGAAATTATTCTTCACTCTGATCTCTCATGGCTTAAACATTTTCAAAGGTCCCAGGCCAGATGGATGTTTTTTCTTCAACATATTTCTGAGACATCAGGTTCTCTGATATAGCTTAAATGCCATCTCCTCAAAAAAGGCTTTCTCAGGTTATCTTCTGAATTATATCCCTCTCCATTCTCTCTCTCTCTCTCTCTCTCTCTCTCTCTCTCTCTCCCCCCCTTCCCTTTCTCTCCCTCTCTCTCTCACCTTTGCTACCCACATGGCATACATTTAAAAATTCTTCTGTTTCTGTCTCCTTCAGACAATACACCCCAGGGTACATTTGTCTTGCTCACTTGTATCTCTAATGCCTAACATGATGCCAGGTATGCAGGAGACATAATTGTTACCTGAATGGGTGATTATTCAGCTGCTGGCTAGTGATGGTGTGTGGTTGCCTCTTCACCTGGCCTAAGGCCCAGACTCAGGCTGCAGCCGAGCAGCTGTGAGAAGCTGTCCCTTCATGTGAGCCCATGGCTCTGTGACTTTCAAATGCCTGAGAGTATTATCTTTGCAACTGACTTGTTCACAGCTGAGCCCCAGCTCTCACTCTCTTAGGCCCCTGTGTGCTGTTAGATGAGGCTCTCCTGTAAACATCAGCACTCATTTCCTGGGTTGCAAAGATGAAACAGGGGCCCTGTGGTTTAGAAGAGTGAAGTTTGGTAGACATACGCATTGACACAGTATAGTACACCATAAATATGGTGATGGAGATATGGAAGGGAACCCAGAGAGGACCATGTTTCATTCTCATTGGGGGACTTGTTTGAAGCCTTCATAGAGAGGGTGATATTTGATTTGGGTTTTGGAGGATATTTAAGAGTTTACCACATAGAGAAGAAGTCAGGATTTTCAGACACAAAGTCAATCAAAAGGCACAGAGACCTGAGAAAGCATACTGGGGTTTGGTAAATCTGGATTATGTAGTGGGAGAGGGTAAGAGATAGTCTATTTGTCACAGTAGGTTTTGATTCCAAACCTAGAAGTTTAGATGGGCTTTAAAGGCAGGTGGAATATGGGGCCTTTTATGTGGACGAGGTCAGAGCTATGAAAGGTCACATAGGAATCAGTGAAAAGAGGAGTGGGACATATGGGATCTGCTTATGCCCATTCCACTCCCAGCCCATCCCATGTTATGTGACTGATACCTGGGTCTCCTCCATCCAGGTGAGGGAAGACTGGAAGTACGTTGCCATGGTGATTGACCGCCTCTTCCTCTGGATCTTTGTCTTTGTCTGTGTCTTTGGCACCATCGGCATGTTCCTGCAGCCTCTCTTTCAGAACTACACCACCACCACCTTCCTCCACTCGGACCACTCGGCTCCCAGCTCCAAGTGAGACCTTCTCAGCTCCATGGCTCTTCTCCCCTTGACCCTTGTTATTCAATAGTATAGGGTGGAAGATGGGACCAGTGAGCTCCTGAAAGAGAGCGCTGCCCCCACAGATCCATCCCTGCCTCCTCAGAGCCCCACCCACACCATCATCTATACAGCCAACCCAGCCTGGAGGATAGAGCAGCTGTGTTGCATTGGGCTGCATGCTTCCTCTTGTATAACCCAGGCAGGCCATGGTGGAGAGGAAGGCTGAGAGGTGGAGGACAGTGATGTCAGAGCACCACCCTGCGAACAGTGCTAGGGAAGGGGCAAAGAAGGGGTCAGAATCGTGTATGGCCTTCAAGTCACAGGAGAAGAGATGGATGGACAGTGCATCCTGGTCCCCCTTCCAGCAGACTGTTAGAGGCACCTAATTTGTTAGTCAGGAACTTAGACTCCATTCTGGCCTGGCTGACACCGTGGTGGGTCAGGAAGAGGAGCGGAAGGGAAAGGCCTAATGTGACCTGACACTGCAGCTGGGATGGGAGAACCCACAGTGTCAGAGGATCCTACAGTCAGACTCCTAGGGAGAGAGCTTCTAGCGTAGTTCCACAGCCCTTGCTTCTGAGAGCTCCAGAGCCCAGCCCTAGGCTCCCTTTTGTCTCATGAAGATTAATTATTTGCACCCCCTGGACTTCATCATCTTCCTTTATTGCTTGGGCTTTGGGATGGGTATTAAGGGAGCCTCTGAGTTCTGGATCTTTTAGGGCCCTGCTTGTAGCCAGGGGTCTGTATACTTGAACTGGGTGAGAAGTGAAAGTTCACAGTATTTGGAGCTGGAAGGAGCTTTGGTAGCCATGGATTGCAATAGGAGCCATGTTACAGATGAAGAAACAGACTCAGAAAGTGAGACAAGCCAGTGGATCTGACCCTTCCTCCTCACTCTGAGGCCCATGTTGAACTGATGGATTCCTTGAAGGAGGTAAACTAAAGACACTAGCTTTCAGCTGAGCCAGCCTTTCTGACGCTGCAGCAGAGTTGGGCTGGGCAGGAGACCTGGCTGTGGAGGCCAGAGGAGCAGGGAGCAACTGGCCGAGTTGGGCCATATCAGCATTGGGCCTGCTCCCACTCACGTACTGCTGGTTTTATCCTTCTACTACTAGCTCCTCTGTGTCTTCCTCATAGCCAGGCCTAAGCAGGTTAAGCAGAACTTCAGAAGTCTAGGTCTGGGCTGCAGGTGGCTTCCCAGGTGGCATAGATTCAACTCATTGTCTTGTGGGTTCCTGGAGGCTGCATCCTGACACTGCTCCCAGGGGCCAGCCAGAGGCCACCTGGCTACTAGTCCAGAAAATGATCTTACTAAGCAATCTCTTGTTTCTGCCCTCGCCACATGACTGGCTCTGATTTGTGATCCTAGCCTAAGATCAGTGCTGGGACAGCAGATAGCAGGTCATGGAGGGGTTAGGTTACTAAATATACCCAAGGGAGCTGGACTGCTAGGCCATTCTGTGCTCTGGAACCCAGGTGGGACTGCTGCTTCTCCAGGCACAGTGGAGTGGGAGGCCTTGCTGGCAGGTAGGTAGTGAGGGGGAGAAACAGCACAAGCAAAGGGACCAGGATCTCTGAGGCTAAGTTACCACCCCAGCTCTGTCATTACTCTGGGCAGGTTTTTCTAGGCCTAAGCCTCCTTGCCTCATAAGGGGAAGAGTTATGTTCTCTTTGTAGTGTTGCTGTGAGGATGGAGGATGCTTTTGAAAAGCATATCTGTGTATCTGGCACAGAGTAGATACTTCATGGATGTGGGATCTGAGAGGCCCTTCCAGAGCCTGTGGGATGGGGTCACATGACTGGCATGCCAGCTTTCCTCTTGAACCCACACATCACCTATCTCTTCCTTGAGCAGATCAAGTTTCTCCCAACAGGGCCTGGACCTGAGGGAGCGGGGGGAGCAGGGAGCAGGAGACATGCAGCTGGGGAGAATATTGTGGAGATATTGAGTCTAAGGAGTCTAAAGTCTACCTGTTGGAGCATCCTCAGCCAAACTTTACTTCATTCCTGGGTAGAGCTTTTGTCCTGTCCCTGCTCAGTTTCCCTTAATACAGGTAGGTATGTGCTGAGGGATCCAGGGTGATCTAGTCTGGCCATGGAAGGGTATCACTGAGACCCAAGGCTAGCAGCTACCAAGATATCTCCCAGTATATCACATACTTGTCAGGACAGGCTTGTTGGCATCTCTTCTTGGAGGCAGAGGAGATTCATTCCCTCTTCTAGAACAGAAAATTGAGCATTGCCATTTATTTATTAACTTATTTATTGTGCCAGTCCTGGGGCTTGAACTCAGGGCTTGAATGCTGTCCCTGAGCTTTTTTGCTCAAGACTAGTGCTCTCTTACTTGAGACACAACTCCATTTCCAGCTTTGTATATATGTGTGTTTGTGTGTGTGTGGTTGATTGGGTATAAGTCTCATGGATGTTCCTTTCCAGGCTAGCTTTGAACTATGATCCTCAAATCTGAGCCTCCTGAGTAGCTGAGATTACAGGCATGAGCCACCAGCACCCAGCAAGAATTGCCTATAGTTTTGCCTGTACTCACCTCAAACTCACAGTCCTGGGAGAAAATTCTGAAATCCAGAGCAGGAACTAGAAAGGAACTGTCCCTCTCTGAATGATAACAAGTTAGCTTGAGGCGCTCCAGGGCCTGGGCTCCCAGTGGTCACAGCTTCTGCTTCTGCTGCAGTGGTACTTTTTTTTTTAATTACATTCCACTTGGTCTGACATCCAATGTAGTCACCAGAGGGTGCTAGAAAGATTAGAGAGCAGCCGAAGCCCTCCCTACTTAACATAGCAAGTAATGAGGCCCAGAGGTTACTTGCTGACTCATAGAGACACTCACCTCTGAACTTGCTGCTGGCATATGTACAAGGAATGGCAGGGGGCTGGAACTGCAGTGGTTGATGTGCAGAAAGAACCACTGGGCAGTATCATTACCCCCACTTGGGTTCCGCCCTTTGGGGCCCATGCCCTTTGAAGGACAGAAGGGTGGAGGAAGGGCTGTACTCTGTGGCAAGGACAATAGGACTAAGGCATTGGGAAGCTTTGGAGAAGCCTAGCCCCTGCCACTTTTGCATCCTCTGGTCTTCTCTTGGTGATGTCAGGGAGGCCTCCTTTCCATGGTGGGGCTGTCTCTAGAGAGAATTAGGGGCTGGGTTCAGAGCTGGGCAAGGCCTTGAAAAGGTCTGAGGAGGGGTAGAAAGAGAATAGCAACCTGAACTAGGTTGTGGGAGCAGTGAGGAAAGGAGCTGGGGATTCTTGTTAGACATGGCAAGGCCATAGTGATGGAAGCCATTTTTTCATGGGTTGACAGTACATACAGGCTGTGTGCTTGAGCTGACAGTGCGGTAGGAGAAAGACAGCTTCCTGGTAGCGAGGGCTGCGATCCTGAACAGCTGGTACCATGTTACTAAAAACACAAAAGCAGACAGGATTCAGGCAGCCTCCCAGGTGGTGTGTTGTACAAGGAAGATTATCTGCAAAGGAAAAGCAAGACCATTTCCTTCTAAAGAAATAGGCTCTGGCCCATTTTTGGTCTCTTCAAATCTCATTGTACAGAAGAGAAAGGAGGCTCTGACAGGCTGACAGCTGGCAGCATGATCTCCCGATGTGGCAGAGGCCTGTTCCTTAGTTCTCACTGTGGCCTTTGGAGCGAAAGAGCTCCCAGGGAGGGAAGAAAGGATATTTGGGGATTTGTCTGAATTGCTCCCCAAGCCAGAATGATAGTTCACTTGTCACCCTCTGCTTCTAGGTAGAAATGGGCTGGTATCAGAGCTTCACTCACAACCTAGCCTCCCATCACCAACCCTGACCAATCAGAACAAGCACCACCTCCTAATAGTTACCCCAATAGGCCTATGAGGTCAGTGTGGTAGTCACAGGGTTCTTCAGGGACTGTAGCCTTAGGAATCAGTAGGACAACTTACCCCCACCCCATTCCCTCCCTACACTGTCCTTGGTCTCCCTTGTCTCCCCCAAGCTGGACTCATTAGGAAACTTGAGATTCTCTTAAAGAAAGTCATTTCCAAAGACTTCTTGTCACTGTTTTATTTGGCAGGAGGGGCAGAACCCTCAGGGGTTAGGGTTGGCAAATATAGGGAAAAGGGGAGAATGTTGGAGAGAGTAGACCTATGAAAGGTTAAAGGCATTATGCAAATCCAAAGAAAATTGAGTTAAATCATTGTGACTTGTCATTTCGCATATTCACTCATCAGATGCAAAAGAAATGGCCAAATGGCTAGACTTGGGGTAGACAGAGCCCTGGGGGCATGAAGAGGACCTTCTGCAAAGCACCAGGCAGAGGGAAGACCAGCCTCCCGAGGCTGGCCTGCTCTCACGCCCTGTGCTCTGGGAACAGAAGGTATCAGTCAGCTAGGAGGTTAGATATGCTCCTGAAACAATGATTTGATTTGCACCCAAATCTGGGAAACAATATGAAATTCTGGGCTCCTGATGAAATGCATCTGAAATGATGAACTGAAGAAAATCCGGTCCTGCCCCAGTCAGTTCAGAGGTGGAGGTGGCTGGGCTTAGGCTTTAAGGAAACTATTTTTTTAAATACTTTTGTTGGGGACCTAATTCCACTTATGCCTATTAACACATGCTTTACTGATAAGCCACATACTAGCTTTTCCAAACCATCCCTTTTCTAAAAGGCCTGGATACATTTCCCTCCAGGTAGAACAAGATATGTGTGAGGACAGTGGCACTCAAGTTTGGGACATCACAGAAGAGTTAAATTATCCTAAATGGCCTTTAAGTTAAAAACCATTCGGTTCGCTGAACCCTCTATTTCAGACAGGGAGGAACACGTCATTCTGGTTCTCATGTCATGTTCCAATGTGGTTGGCTCTTCTGGCCTTGGTTCTATTTGTATAAAGATAAGCAAAAAGAAAAAAAAAATAAGAATTTCATTGTGCCTGGCATTGGTGGGTCACACCTGTAGTCCTACTTAGGAGGCTGAGATCTGAGGATTGCATTTGGAAGCCCAGGCAGAAAAGTCTGTAAGACTCTTATGTCCAATTAATTACCTAAAACAAACAATCCAAATTGCAACTGTGGCTAGTCACACACTAGCCTTCAGCAAAAGAGCTCAGGGACAGCACTGAGTTCAAACTCCATGACCGACCAAAAAAAAAGCTTTCATTGTAACTTAGCTAGCTTAATCATCCTTTATCATCCTCTGGTATATTACTGTTAAAAGGTAGTCTTCTAGAAATTCTGGAGTAAGTTACAATGTGGAAAGCGATGAAGTTCTTTCAAATTCAAGATGGAGAGATTTTGGATGTCATGAATAGAAGTAGAAAGAAAATAGTCTCTTAAAATGCACCTAGGCCTGTCCTGAGCCAGCTGCAACTCTTCTCCAAACATACACCTTCCTGCAGGCAAAGTGGGATAGAAAACACTCCTTAGGGAGACTTGTGTTCGACTTGTGTTAGTCTCAAGGGAAGTTTCCCTCCCTCTTCTGGGCCTTGAAATTCTGTCCATCAAGTCCATTTGGCGGTGGGCTGTGATGAGAGGAAGGTATGGAGCAGGTAGAGTGCCTGATGTGTCCACCCGGCAGCAAACTTACCTACCCCAGGAGTCTCTT